TTCAAAGGCATTGCCTATTATCCTCACCAAATAAACTGAAAAAAAATAAACTAACAGAGCTTTCTTGACTGGCTAAAGCGCGAGTTCAAAATACCATGAAGGTGGCTGTGGCGTTATTCTAGGCGAAATCAATTGTAACAATGTATTCTGAACTAACAATAATGCTCTCACTTACCCGATGATACTTAAAGAGAAAGTACGTCTGCCAGAAGATGTATATGGAGTGTATAACATTTTTGGGGATCCAGAGTACACTATGACAGGAATTCATGTAATTCTCCTCCTGAAATTGGTCCGACACGCTGAAACCATCCAGAATCATCACTCCGAAGCCGAATACTACGAGAAAGCAAAAAGGGGTATATGTGAGAGAAAGACGCTTTTAGTAAGACCTCTCAAGAAGTCTCGTGGTAGAGGGAGAGACTTTCGTGCATGCACTACGGTCCTTTTTGTTGATCGGATTACTTTGCAACGCAGACGACATTTCGCTGGAAGCAAAATCATTATAAAAAGTATTAAAGGAAACCTGGAGAATTTTAGACACAAAATGAGCCTTCCTTATTATCCCTCTGCTGGTGATTAGCGATGCACCTTGTTCAAACGCGTTCACATGCATTGAGGAAAGCAGAGACATCGTCCACTGGATCTGATTTTAGAACGCGAAAATCAGATGGACTGCGGTCAGGACTGCGAAGATGAACTGATTTCTGGGAAGAAAATTCGAAGGTAGCTTTAAGAATTTCAATTTGCGTATTGGCGGCGTATTTTGCTTCAAACCCCAGTAATATTCTGGTCTAACAGTAGGCCATTTCACTGCACTGTGACTTAACTATCCGCAACATGACGTCGCGCCGTTACTGTGCCCTGTCAAATACGAACCGACAGGACGGTAGAAAAATGGCTTTTTAAGTAATATGCGCTTTTCTCATTGATTTTCCATGTCCTTATTGAGTTAAACATCTTTTATGGGAAACATGCCTATTTATATTCTTTTCTGTACGCGCTTGACGGCTAATCTCGGCTTCTTCAATTGCTATACCTTAAGAAATTGTATCTTTCGGTTCAAAAATGTTTCCAATTATGAGACATTTACCCTCGTGAAATGTTCGTGCATGATACATCTTATCCGTCAATGTCTAATTGTTGCTTATAAAGTACAAAACACGATCAACATTAATTTTGTGAGACCTATGTGAACTCATAATCCTACTGCAGCGAAATACGTGCGTTTTCCTTGACAGAATGTATGCAACATGTACTCTGAAAACCCTCATTTTAAGTGAAATGGCTAGAAGGGTTAAAAATCACTCGGACACTGAGAACCCATTTTTCATAACCAAAAAGTTTGCTACCAAGTGAGTCATCAAGTAAGTTGTGCGACAACAATCTCAGATAATTCTATCCCTTAATTGTGTTGTTACTTTTAGATTTATTAGTTTTAGTTTAGTTTGATTTTTAGTTAAATATTTAAGTTATAAGTTTAATTTTAGGTTTACTTTCGATAAGTTTTCAGTTGATTTAGATGCCGCCAACGTTAGATAAATATACTTTAATAACTACTATATGCTAAACTAAACCAAATAAGCTAAGCAAACTAAAAAAAACTAAAAAAACTAATAAAGTAAGAAGTATACTTGACTTGTACCGCAGGTCCCGTAATACGGAAGTCTGCGGCTATGGATATGTAGGGAGGGCGGCCACTTCAAATGCTACCACTTGTTCGAACCGAAAACTCATGTTACGTTAGGTTTCGTTATTCGGGTCAGATGGTAGAGTCTCCCCATCACCAACTAATATTTGTGTATTGACAGTGTAAATTTGCATGGTCTACCTTGTACTTTCCGCAAGTGACACGCTGAGGTTTTCTGCATATTTCAGTTTATGCGGTGAAGGTGATAGGCACTGCCCTTGAAAATCCTATTGTTTATATGCCGGTGCGTCATATACATTTGTACACGCACGCTCAAAACATGTGGCACATTTAAAATACTACTTACAAACTGTGAGTAGCAATGTTTTAAAAATAACTCTGGTCTGTTTTTCTCTGGTATTAATTCGTGTACTAAGTGAACGGATTGCTAATTGGCCAGCTAGTATCCACTAGGCGGCAGTGTATATACCGGAATTGAAAAGAGACCGTATTTGTTCTTCCGACAATATAAAATCATAAGTCCTTTCGACCAGCAGTAAACCGTGGAAAGTGCAGGAATATATACAAGTTCACACACACCTACGGCACCCAATCGGAGGTACAGGTTTATGCCCTCCTGCCCCCAGATCAGGGGTCTGCTGGTCCGTCCCAGTGACCTCCGAGGTTTATGTCGGAAAAGGCGTGGAGTATGGAAAGTCGGCATTTTCATCACGCGGCGATCCGAGCGTTTCTCCGCCGCTTGCGACCTTCCTTTTCGGTAAGCCTTCGTCTTCTTCTTCCTCTCGCCCTCCTCTGCATCCTCTTCAAATTCCTCAGTAACCGGCTTTCTAGTCTGGCTGTCATTTGAGCCAATCAGATTCATCCCGTTGATTGGGAGGGGAACCTGGGCGGGGGGAGCAGAGGCATTTTCGTGCGCATTGTAGTTCCTTAGTTCCGAAGAGGTCACTGAGGTTACTTGGCTGCCGTAAGGTTCTACACTCGGTGCGCAAGGTCTTTCCTGCTCCTAAAATAGCCAAAGTAAGCTTATCCTAAAATTTAGGCAGTTTAGTGGGGGTGGCCATTTAGGACTCATTTGTGGGCTGATGTGGGATAAGATAGCGGATAAGGTTAAGATATTTGTTTACAAAAAACACATCTCAGAACAACGTACGTAGTGGTTCATTATGGGCTCCGACTGCGACTGGCTTTTACGGGGATGTTCGTTGGATTGAGGCGCAGAACTTACTAGGATGATCATAAAAATAAGGTCTTGACCATGTATATTTGAGATGTCTTGACAAATAGGCACATTTTAGAGATGAAGTTTAAGCAGGCTCAATCAAACTGACATGTCGTAAATGAATATGCAAAAAAGTGATTTGCAGACATGCTTTCTGGTGCATATGGCCTAAACATGACAGCCTATCACTAAGAAAAATTAATTTCCAAAACAATATTCGACTCTTGCTTTGCCTAAAATGAAGTAACGTCCTTAAAACGTGCCTGAGATGCACATATTCCTGCCGAATTCTCGCGTAACTTACCTTTATCCGCAGTAAAGCGAAGGTAAAATAGAGATTTCCACCGGTTTTTTGACTTTCGTGAAAACGGGTGATTATTTTTTTTTCTGCTGAGAGGAAAAATACATTCATTTTTTTTATGTAGGCGCATTTTTTTCTGAGGAAAACGCGGTGCTTGACATTTGCTTTCACCTGATTTCTATTGGCTTACGATCACATTTTTTACTTCCAGGAAGTACTTCTTTGAAATTTTTCCCGTTTGCAGTAGGTTTCCTCTAGAGCCTAGCGCACAAAGCCATACGTTTTTTTCCTGCGATAGTAAATAGCATAGGAAATTGCTTGGATGTGCAGAGACATAGGCGCCTACCTGGATTCTTTCCGCTGTTGTTAAATACAGTAGTCGCCGGCTATTAAGCCCACGGTTAATAAGCCCAGCCGCTT